TTTTGAGAAATTTAGGCACCTAATCTTCATAGACTCCGTCCTTAGTCTCTAACACTCCACAGACCCCCGTCGCCCGGGTAACCTGGTCGACGGGGCAACCCTCATTGACTAGCAACGTCTGTGCTCGTCGACCACCGAAGTCGACGACCACTTCTGATCGATCACACCAAGTCGACTCCACCAGGTCAGCGTCACCAAGTCGGCGCCCTCCCAGGTCGACCTCCCAAATGGACCTCCCGAAGTCAGCGCTCTCCCGAAGTTGGCGCCAGCTCAGTGACTCCGCGCAGGTCGACGAACCCGTCGACCAACTTGCCCACTGCTGCAGGTCGGCTACACCTCCCGCACACCCGACCACAAAGTCGGCTCCGCCCAAGCGAGGACGGGGCGAACATACAACTCCCGTTGTCAACACCTTGGCTGGAGGTTTCACCTTCTTCAGCGGGCAACTCGTGGCGCGCTTCACCCTGCGTCCGGCATAGCTTGGAGTTTTCATCTCGTAACGGTTCCACTTCCGTCATTAACGCCTTCATTCTTGCCTACATGTCCGCCACTTTCTACATTACTTTGTCGAAAGCTGCCTGATCCATGTGTCGCAAGCTTCATCTAGTAGGTAGCTATCGGAGCCAGTGACTATCCGGCAACAGCACAATCGCAAAAGCTATCGGATTCGGACAATTTTAGCTTAATAATCTTTGCAGCCAACCGCTTTGCAGCCCACCGCACCACTCACACCCGTGCTACTAAACTACCCTCGAAAAGCAAGGCGAACTAGGAAAGTAGCTCTGATACTAGGTGTTCTGAGTTGTAAAACATAGTCATGCGGAAAACACAAAACGAAGCTGTGACTAAATGAATTGACGATACAGTGAAGGACACGATACAATATAGTGACTACCCTAGGCGAGAGCCTCCGGCACGCGAGAATGGGCGCAGGTTGGGTAAGGGAGAACAGAAAGTGACACGAGGTTGCGTCGGCATCGTTGATGTCGACTGAACGTGCAAGTCCGAAAGTGGGGGTTGTACGCGAAGCAGTCATCCCCGATTAATGAAATTAGATAAAACTTGTAAGGAATCGGCCTACCATACATTTCCGCCCCAAACCACTTCCGAGTCGCCCCCGCACCAATCGCCACCTTTCCGGGCCATCTTCGCTCGAAGTCGTTGCCTAGCTATGGATCCTGTTATGATCCCACAATGAACTTAGCCAGGGTCAGCCTTAGGATTGTTCGCAGAGTAGTTTACACTGGAAGTAATTGGTGACACCTGTCAGAGTGATTCTAAAATGACAGAAGTGATTATTACAGAAACATACACGGCTATATATGAAATAAAGGGAACACAAAACACATAGTTAGCCCTCCCTCCCTCCCTTGTGCGAGGCATCCCTAGGGCAGGTGCACTGTTGGCAAGTTATGAATCAACACTCGGTCTCATTGAGTAGATGTCAATAGGGTCTCATTGGCTGAAAATCAACATGGGTCTAATTGACTGGAAGGGAGAAAAGGTCTTGCATTGAGTGGAGCGGAGAAGGCGTTTTCAATGAGTAGAAAGGAGTAGCCATCCAAGTTGAAGCATGTGCAACATTGCAGCCATCCTATTCATATGCAGAAAATCGAGCGGCCAGCAATTATTGAAAAATCATGATAAGGAAGTATTAACTTTATGATGCAGAAAAGGAAGACAAAAAGAGAATAATACATGGTATGAAGAAGTATTATCTTTATGATTGGTGCAGAAAAAGAGGTGAAAAATCTGTGCAGGCGTGCAGGTGGAAAATAATCAAACACACATAGGTCTGCTAGTGCAAGTAAGTCTACATCGAGCATGAAAAGTTTCCATTCAATATTGCCTGCACAATTATCTGCTGCGTAGAATGTGAAACCTTCACACCGTGAAGCACCACTGATACCAGAGACAAGATAACGTGTCGTAAACTTCCCAGCTACTACATCTGGAAATCGAACGCAGGAATTTCGGACAAGGCGCATGGTTACGGTCTGGAAGCCATGTCCTTGGCAGTTTAATTTGCAATGAGCGTGGTGCTAATGAAAGAAACGTTATAATCTCCACTTGAGAAAGTGTGCAAGGAAGGGCTAAACGCATTGATTGTGTGAACCTTGATACATTCTCACACCCATACATCCCTGCATATATTCATTCATGCATTGCCACATTCCCACAACTTGTACCAGCATCAGCCATAAAGCCAACTTGGCAGAATGAGGGAAGCAAAAAGAGGGGTGAGTGAGGGAGAGGAGCAGTGGGGCGATTTGGGAGAGAAGAGAGTGGAGAGAGAAAAGCACGCATGGGTTAAACAATCTCACCCTTAACACATGTGGTCGGGGTTGTCCCATAGCCTTGAGGGCAAGCACAATAAGGCACCTGCACTGATTTGTTAAAAGTCCTAGGCACGGTTTTGCAGGTGGCTCCAGTGGGGCAGGCACCACGGGGTTAGGCTGAGGGACCCAGCAAGCAAGGGAGAAGGAAGGAGATGGGGAAT